GGGCATGCGAGTGAGTATAGCTCTCAGTAGTAGGGACTGGTGAGCAAATGGCTGAGTAATAATCATCAACACCTGTGAGGACGTCGTGGGCACACATGCAGGCAACTGAGCCATCATCAGACAAAATAGGGGCATCTGCGATTATTGCGGTACTGCTAAATGTAGTAGGTGCCAGGGTTGCATAGTATGTAAATGCGCCGTATAAATAGCGTGTTCTGTGTGTTTGCTGGTTTTATCTATTCTTGTCTGCCATGGTGGATTCTAGAGTGAATCCGAAGCCTCGGAAAAATAGACGATAGGGCATCACTATAACTACCCCCCCCCGTATTACATGAGGCCTTGCGCCAAAGTCTAGGAGGAAGTAGGTTAAGAAGTAAGGGTTGAAGTTAGGACATGGGAATATGCACTCCTCGCTGTTAAAACTCTTCTTCTAGCCATCACATTTTCTTCCAAATCTTGATTTAATTAACAGGGTGCCCAGCATAACACTGGACTACTCACCAATACCTAAAGTTTTTTGAATGTGTTGATGGTCAATGCTGCTACATTCTCTGCCCTGCTGTCTACCGCTTGCTGCGAACAGTTTTTTGTCGAGTGGTTGATATCGGACAATTTCTCGCACAAAATGGGCCGACGACTCAGTTGGCTTCTAAGGTTTCATCCTAATATCGCTTACTGAATTAGCCGCTGTATTTTTTATCGCATGCTGTGCTATTGACAGCAATATCTAATATAGTTTATGAGCTGAGCGGGATTCCAGTTGCCTTAGAGGACGTTTTTATTGTCAATGGCGATATGATGTGGGGCATTCAATCAAGCTTTAAAATTGAGCTTCGCTGTCATGTTGTTCAACTACTACCTGTTCTAGTGGTTTGGACGCTACTCCACCTGCATCATAGTACAGAAAACGGGTTTTCTCATCCTGACTCAGTCATAGATGAGAGCACACATTTCCTGTTCCCTGTTTCACGTGCCGTGCCACGTGATTCAAGAGACCCACCTTCGCCAGACAGCTTGCGATGAAGCGACGAAAAATATTCACAAACTCCATACGGACAGGTCTGTCATGTTGCTGCACCACTTAGCAGGTGTGAAAAAATCCATTTAAAAAACATTCCAACCAAAAGAACAAATGAATCTTGTTTTTCACCTACAGATTTGTATCTGCTAACTTAAATGTTATTTCCGCATGATTACGATAATGGAGGTGAAAAGGATGTTTTTTTTAACTATTATATTTCATTTCCTTGATACTTTAAAAAATGCACGCTTGCTTTTTCGGGGGGTCTACAGGACAGGACCACCGACAGGACTCTGCCGGGCACGAAACAAAAGCTCGCGCGCTACAACTCCTACCGAGGAATTGAGAAGCCGCCGAAATTGGAGGATAAAGCCGTACTTGAGGCCCTGGACAAAACTCTGCAAACTCGCCTGAAATTGGACAAGAAACCGGCATTTCTGCCACCGAAGGGTCAGTCAGTACCGGAGATCAAGAACGCCTGGAAGGAGATGGAATTTCGCGAGAAGGGCTTCGAGGTAGACTACACTTCCAGTGTCCCCATCCTTTACTTCTTGCAACTGCCGTGCTGTCCTGTGCTATTTTCCTCCATGCAGCAGTTTTGAACTAAGTCCTTCTGGGTA